ACTTTTGTTGGTTTGGTTTGATTTATAAATTTAAAAATCCAAAACAATTGATTTAATTTTGTAATTGAAAAATCCGAACCAACGCGACCTACCTATATATTTTAGTTTTGGTCCAATGAACCAAACAACAGACCAAAACACCTGAACCGGTGGATGATAATGACTCTATCTTCTTTTGCATTAGCAAAGAATCGTAGGGAAACAAAAGAGACCATATAGGTTTGGATAGAGAGCATATGGTTCTGTTCACTATCATCAATTTCAGCTTCTATAGCACAACTCTATCCAACACCACCCCTTGGCCACGTGATTCGAATAAGTATTGGATGGATCAAGCTAAGTATGAATACTTGTTCTTATCATATTTTGGCATATAAATTTTGAAATATGCCTAACCAAAGACGTCAAAGAAATATAAAGCGGGTCATCTTTGCAAAAATATTTCTCTTGTTAGAATGAAACAGATATAAAGACTCATTTTTCACAAGAATTTATTGGGTAATCCCCACTAATAATATAAAAAAGAACAGAAAAGAAAATAGTATATAATCGTTTATGTATGCATATGTGTGTGCACGTATATACATGGTTGGAAGTACATGGAGGAGTTCAATTCATGAATCTTGATCTCGTTCTTCAGAAAGTTATACCGAGCAAACGCTAGTCTTTTTGTGTATATATAAATTGTTGATTTTCTTGGGGAAACTTCTAGTATATGGTAACTAAAGGTGGCTCAAAAATTGTTAGAATTTCTGAACTAACCATACGTAGATTATGTGAAGTTAAGAAAACACTGTTCTACCGCAATAGAAAAATTAGAGTCACAAGAGCGAAGTCATAACAACCTGTTAACACTTCATAGTACATTTTTCAATTTATGTCATTTTCCTAAGAATATACTCCAAAATATTTTGCACATGGCGTAAATCGATGTGTATTTATATAGGTTGAGCTATAGAGTTGGCAAAGAGAGAAAATATCGACAAACTAAAAACTAAACATAAAAATTACTACTCGAAAAACTAATTTTCTATATTAGAAAACTCTTAAATATATATTTTACTTGTCATAGTGTGCCTTTATACCGCTAAAAAAGTCATGAGATGTTTAAGATTACAAGCGATAAAATACTCTTGGCATGTTATACATATTTCGCTTTTTCATCAACCGTCTTTCTTTCTTAAATATTGTGCCTACTTAATTAAACATACTATGCACAGTGAAACATAATAACTTTGCTTGAACAACTCATCTAGCTTTTTAAGATAGATTCAACTTATATATATTGATAACGTAATTTGTTTTATTAAACTATGAATATACTTAACCTTTTTACAATAGGTTACTTATTTTTTAAAAGTTACGATATTAGATTTACTATAAAAATTTATTTTTGGTTGTAAATAGCTTAATATGATTATATAAAATAACCATGCGTTGTTAGTCTAGAGAAGTTAAAATAATTCAATATTACTTATTGTAATGATCCGGTCGGTCGTTTTAAGTGTATTAGCCCCGATCCCGTATTTATTACCTCCTCTGTGTTATATTGTAGTTACGTGACTTTCCAGGGATGTATGATTTTGGTTTCGGGTGAGTTTCAGAGTGAAATGGGACACATAGCCCCTACGTTAGAAGGTTAAGTCGTAGGAGTTGACCATAGTTTTACTTGTGTGAAGATGACTCCGGAATGGAGTTTTGTCGATTCGAATAGCTCTGTATGGTGATTTTGGTCTTAGGAGCTTGTCCGGATGTTGATTTGGAGGTCCGTGGGTCATTTCGGCATGAATTGGCGAAATTTGAAAAGTTGAAAGATTTTGAAAAGTTTGACCGAGAGTGGAATTTTTTATATCTGGGTCGGATTCCGATTCCGAAAGTTGGAATAGGTCTTTAATGTCAATAATGACTTGTGTACAAAATTTGGTGTCAATCGAATTTGTAGAATTTATGTTGTTTGATGTGATTTTTTACCTCGAGTAGGTTCGTTATGTGTTTTGGAATTAGTTGGAATATTCGAACGGGCCCCGGGGGCCCCAGGTGTAAATCAGATAAAAATCGAATCATTTTTGGACTTACTGATTTGTTGGAGTGTTGGGCTGGTTCTGGTGTCTTCGCACCTGCGGAGGGATTGGCCGCGGGTGTGGGCTCGCAAATGCGAGCCACTGGTCCCAGAAGCGGATTTAGTCTAGCCCAGCTGGGATCGCAGGTGGAATCATTTATCCGCAGAAGCGGACTCGCGGATGCGGAGGCTTCCTTCGCAGAAGCGGAACTTGGGGAAACAACCTTGGGCTTGACCGGAGATACGGTCGTTTCTCCGCAAAAGCTGGCTCACAGATGCGAGCTATTATCCGCAGAATAGGAACCGCTGGACTTAAGTTTGGACCGCACCTGCGATGGTTTTTCCCCAGGTGCAGCGTCGCAGAAGCGACCCATAGGCCGCAAAATCGGAAGTCGCTGAGCAGAAAAGGGAAATTCGAGGGTTTGATTTCATAATTCATTTTGAGACTTTGAGAGCTCGGTTTGAGGCGAAATTTCGAGAAATTTTCGGAGGAATTGTTAGGATAAGAGTTTTTGACTCGATTTTGGTTAAATTATACTAATCTATCATTATTATTAGCATATAATTAAGGATTTGAGTGGAAAAAATTGGGAAAAAGTGTAGAAGTTCTTAGATTAAGTTTTTGGGTTTTAAAAGAAAAAATGAGATCGAATTTGAATAATTCTTGTATGGTTGGACTCGATATCGAATGGGTATTTGGTTTTTTTAATTTCGGTCGGGTTCCGAGGCGCGGGCTTGGGTTGACTTTTTGGGTCGATTTTTCAATTTTTTGGTAGGATCATAATTTTATTATTTAAATTAATTTCCTATAGTTATATTTATAGTATGAAATTATTTTGGCTAGATTCGAGCCGTTCGGAGTTGGAAAATCGAAGGAAAGGCCTTCTAGTTGATTGATTTAGTGAGGTTTGAGGTAAATGACTTGTCTAACCTTGTGTGGGGGAAATTTTCCTTAGCATTTGGTATTGTTGTGATGATTGTGAAATGTGAAAGCCGCGTGCGCGAGGTGACGAGTGCGTACACGAGCTAAATGTGAAATTTTCGGATTTTTGCTATGTAGTTTCCTTTCACTCTTTAATTGAGTTACTTTAATGTGTTATATACATTATGTTTAGTCTAATTTCATGTGTCTACTTGTTGTATCTCTTATTTGCAAATCGCCCTACACGTTTAGTTGAATTACTTGTTTTCTTTTATTCTGTATTCATTATTTAACTGTTGAACCCTTACTTAAAATTGCTGTTCTTGGAGTATTTTGTTGTTGAGTTTGGTATTGAGTTGCAAAGGTCGTGGTTTCTATCGAGGCAAAGTGTAAGTTGTGAAATATCATTTTTATTGAGTTGTTATGTTTTGTCACGCATGTTATTGTTGCGAGGATTGTTTGGTTGTTTGCACGAGATTTCTGCCGTGTTGTTGTTACTATTTGCACGAGGTTTCTGACGTGCCGTTGTTACTAGTAATACGCATGCAGTGGTATAAGGTCTGAGTTTTAAAACGCATGCGGTGAGATAAGGTGGGCTTGATACGCGCGGCTAGTAGGGGAACTGCTAGAAGTCATGTTATATGATAACGTGGGCTAAAACGTGGGGTGCTATTTCGGAAAAAATAATTTTCAAAACTAAATGTAAAGGCTCCTGCGGTGATATAAAAAAAGACTGTGAGTTACTTTTATGATTTGGAACTACGAGGCGGTACCTCGGTAGGGCCCCATGTTGATCTTCTCTATTTGTTGTATTTGTTTGGTTGTTGTTTTCTTAACATGTAAAATCTCTGTTTTCCTTCTGTGTTATATTAACTGCCTTGATTCCGTGTTATTAATTTTTCGTAAATTCTTTATTGTTTCACTTCCTTTGTCATTATCATTATATCATTATATTTGTTGTCTTGTTTCTTATTATCCCCGGTAGGGCCTTGACCTGACCTCGTCAATACTCTATCGAGGTTAGGCTTGGCACTTACTGGGTACCGTTGTGGTGTACTCATACTACGCTTCTGCACATATTTTTGTGTATATCGAGGTACATTTTATCAGTCCCAGCACTAGCGAGTTGAGTTTCCTATTGGAGACTTCAACGTACACTTGCCCGCGTCCGCATGCCTCGAAGTCCCCTTCTATCCTGTTCTTCCTTATTTTTTTATACTTTTATAGACAGTGATGTATAGGGTTGTCCAGCACTGTATCTAGAGTTTGTGACTTATATTTTACTAAGTCTTGGGGAGCTGTACGCATTGTGTTTATAGATTCTATTTATGAAATTGTTGGAGTTTTGAGATTCTAAATTTTATTTAATGTTTCTGCATATGGTTAGGTTTACCTAATCTTAGAGACTAGGTGCCGTCACGACATTCTACGGAGGAAATTTGGGATTGTGACACTTATATTATGTTTGGTGCGTTTATTTATTTATTTTGAATTAAATTTTGAAATATAGCAAAATTTAAAATTATAACATAAACGCACTCAGGTTCACAGAAACTTCCCAAAGGGAAACCTGGATGCCCATTGTCTACCTATAAAGCAATACCACTCAATTTAGCCTTGGTTGGAACAAGCTGAAAATATATTTATTCAAAGAAAAGAAGAAGAAGAAAAAAGAGATAGTGAAAGACAAGAGAATCCAACTAATGCTGGGACAGGCAGACAGAGACATGACAGTCCACAAGGTCAAAGTTGGCTAAAAAGATTTTGTCTGTCTAGCTATACACTATAACTACTAACAACATCATCACCTTTGATAAATATTCGTCATTCTTAATAAAATGTTTCATATTTGAGCTCCGGATACAAAATATTTTTTGTTAGAGAGTGTTTTACCTCATAATATGAGATTTTCTTAAGCGAATCTGGTCGGACTTTAATACGAATATCGAATTCCAGAGAAACCAAAAAAAACACACCATCATCAATTCAAAGAGAAAAGGAGAAAACAAAACTCATAAATAAGATAAAAATGGTTGTTATTGACCTCCATTGAAATCTTTCTTGATCTCTCTTCTTTATTCGGCTATACAAAACTCATTTTTGACAAAAGAGTAAAAACTAAGAGAGGAAAATCATATTTGTAATGATACCATATTACATTTTTGTAAATTAAATATATTTATTTGTATATGGACCTAATCAAATATTTTGATTAATACTTTGAGTTAATGATGATGATCATGATGATTAGGAGGTGGCAATGCAGTAAGGCTCCCAAATTATTAGTGATCTCTTTGGCTCTTTGCAACTTCTCAACAAAGGCACCAAATTGTTCATAGATGCCTTGTTCCCTCTAATTAGCACCAAGTCCTGCTGCTGCTCATATGATGCTATCTTAGTGGTACCAGTGGCTTTGAGATCAGTACCATTGGCTTCTGCTGCTGCTAGAAAAACTTTCTTATTGGTGTAGTAGTTGTTCTTGCTGAAGCATTGGTCTGCAGTGGTGGAATTATTCACAATGTTTGCCACTGTTGGCTTCTTCCTCCAAAAGTTATCGTATGCATTTAAAGAGACTGCAGCCGCCGGTGGTGGTGGTGATTGAGTAATCGATGAGGGACAAGTGTAGCATTCTCTAAAGATACTATCTTTCACCTCATGTTCCATCATCGAGTTCAGTGAGTTGTTGAACTTGTTGCTAATATCGAAATAACCAGGTGTCACGCTGAAACTAACACATTTAGACCATGTTAGTTGATTCTTTTTCTCTAACATCATCAGGGCTGATGATTTGTTCACATGTATCACCTCATTCGACAATCTTGAACTTTTTTCCATCACACTAATATCGTCGAACATTTGCTCAAACTCTTCAACTTGATCATCAATATTTGCGATTTCTAGTTCTGGCTGATCAGCTGTAGAATCATTTTGATTGATATAGGTGAGACAAAGACGGCCATCAACGCGTTGGGCATGGAAATAGTTCATAGGTGGAACAGAAACTGCTTCAAGAACCAATCTACCATTTTGTCTGAATGATTGCATGTGAACAGAATGAAGAGGAGGAGGAAAAGATCTAGGTGAAGATAAGTTTTTTCTATAATTATATTTTACAACTGGAATATCCTCAAAGGATTGTGAGACAGAGGAATGTTGTTGTTGATGATAATGATGATCATCTTTGTTATTTTCTAAGTCTTCATTTTTAGGAGGTGAAGAGGAAAAGCAATCAGAGCCAGTCTCTGATCCAAGACTCTCAGTACAAATTTCAAGACTTTTCTTACTCAAAGAACTGCCTGATCTTTTAACAAGAGGATGAATATAAGGAGGTGGAATCTTAGATGAGTCAGCTTCTTCATTCTTTGAAGATAGAATTGAACTCCAATCAAATGTTCCAATTGGCTGATCTTTGAGTTGTTCAACATGATCTTCTTCCCCATCTGAAGAAGAAGAATCACAAATATCAGCAGCAGAGGAAATAGCAATTAGCTCTTCAGAGGAAGCAATTTTCTTCATTGAAGAGAAAAAACCATTTTTAGAAATGGAAGACATATCAGCTGAAAGAGTTCTTCTAATAGAAGCTGCAGCTTTAATACTTCTTTGATCAGTGTTTGATCCAAGAATTGACATTATTCCTTGTTTTTCTGCTGTTACTTCTTTCATCTTTAAAGATAAGTTGAAGTTATTCATGTTAACACATTGTGCTGACATCTTGAAGTAAATCAGAGACAAAATGTTTCAAGCTAAGAGCAAAAAAAAAAAGGGAAATATGGAGGAAAAATATGAAGATGATAGAATTGGTATTAGGTGTATTATGGGGTTTTTTTCGTTTGGGCTGATTTTGATGGAAAATACAGTGAGGATATCAGGGTATTTATAGGAGCTCAAAAGGCCTTGGGAACCTTGTGCAATGGGACCCCAATTCTAACGCCACCATGAATAATAAAAGACTACTTTTTTTCTTCTTTCTTTTTTTTCCCTTGAATGTTGGTCGTTCTCTTGGTTCCATATTATTTTTTTGCTTCCCACCCTCTCTTAGAGTATCCTTTTTAAAATTCTGACTAATTTGAATTTACATGGGAAAGAGCTTTTCTACCGGAATTTATTTATTTCGAAAGTTCGAACCCGAGACCTCTGATTAAGGGTGAAGGTATCATTCCATTCTATCACAACCTTTTGGGGTCATTTGGTTTGAAAACAAGTTATGATGGGATTAGTTATGATAGAAATAGTTGTACTATAATTAGTTATTCGGGTATTATTTCTTACTGATTGTTTGGTATATTGTATTAATCATGGGTTTGTCAATTTTACAGTTTTATCGTGGGATAACTTATCTTGGGATTACTATTTCACACTCTGTAAGGTATAAGTTATCTCGGTACTATTTTTAATCCTGAATAAGTTATCCCGGGATTAGAGACCAACCAAGGGATAAGGCATACTAAATTTTTGTCCCATGATTATTTCTGTTTATCCATCATACCAAGCAACCCCTTAATGGTTATTGGTTCCATTTTAGCCTCTCTCTTTTTTTAAGAGGAAAATGAGGGAGATGATTACACGGTAGGGAATGAAACTCTCACCAATAAGATGAAAGTCCCTTTTGCCACAGTCGCAGATATAGAAATTTTGAGAATACGTCTTAACAGCTAATGGTTAACGATGACTATGATGAGTGATTTTTCTAGAATCGGCAATACTAAAATCACTGTTTTAATAAATGTGCGGAACAGGATAGTACATTGATCCACCAGAAGCTCGTCAAACTCTTGAAATAGCGGAAGCTAGTGTGAAAAAGGTTGAAGTAAGGAGACAAAAAGTTGAGGTAAATCTAGCTCTCCAACGAGCTAGAACACAGGTAGAAGCTATCAATTCACAAGTACCTAACCAACTGATCACTACTAAGATTTCCTCTTGCTGTGAGTTCCATGTTAAATTGATTAATTTTGAGGGTCATATATATCATCTAAGTTTTTAATTGAGAAAACAATATTGGGTGATTTTCAAGTTTATAAATTTTATTAAATACTTTAATTAACTCTGGTTGCAAGAGATCACATATTGAAATTTTTTTTAGAAGTTTTGTATTTAAGAAAATGAAGAAAAAGAAGTTTGCACGAAACATAGTGTGTATAGAGTATAGACATAGTAAATTTTTGAAGTTTTTTGAGTCATGTTTAGATTCAAAAGATAGTTGATTGGAGAAGCGCGGTAAAGAACTTGAAAAAAGCTTTTTGAGAAAACTTTAGAAGTAATAATGACTTTAATTTTTTTAAAAGAAGAAAGAATTTTCAATTATTTCAAAATTTTATACGTCCAAATGGTATATGCTAGCAATAATTTGACTGCACATTTTATAATTGTGACCTTGTGGCTAAATTTAGGATAGTTGAATATGTTAGTTGATAGTCCCGCTAATATTGCTGTATTTGTAAATAATAATTCTGGGAAATATAAGTTATCGTAATGAAACAGTAATTAATTCGAGCCCACTGAATTCACAGTGTTTCCTTAAGGAATTTAATCCCCTCCTAGTACCCAAGGTTATAGATTATTTCCTCCCAGGATAGAACAAATCACACACTGGTGTAGCGGTACTTCAAATCCCAATGTTTCAGCGAACACAAAGTTCGGTAGCAAATCACACTTACAGTTGCTTTGTTTGAAGTTAAAACAATGCAGAACAAAGGAGTAGAAACTCAAAAAATCGTATGAAAATGCTGAGAGGAAGGAGTACAATGTATAGCCAAAGTTGAGCATTTTCAGTTTGGTGTGTCTTTCTTCCACAGCTGCTGCACATATTTATAGCAGTCAGCTTTGAAGATGAACGACCCTCCACCCTCCAT